TGAAGAAAATGGAGAAGAAGATGAGGGAAGAAGAGAGAATGAAGAGAACCATAGAGAAGAACAATCCCTTCTAACGGTACCGATGATTGGTGATCGGAGAAGAAGACATTCACATCATTGTCCAATTCTCGAATCATCACTTCATCGACGCCGATGTTCATCACCGACCGTCAAGTTTTTGAAGTTAAATGATGGAGAGAAAGCTGAGGCTTTGCATAGGTAAATTTTCTATTTTATGAATCGAATTGAAACTTGAAAAACTTTTATGAGGTAGGGAAAGAAAAATTATTGGTTAATTGATACGTTTGATAGATCAAAATCTCAGATCATGTGCACAATTCAGTGCACTAGATGGCGAAAGTTTAGGCTTTGAGTTTGTGTAATTCAAATCGAAGTTTCTTGTCATCGTTTAGATCTCTTCAATTTCCTCACTTTCCTCACTTTCCTCACTTTCCCAGCTGTCATTCTCAGCCACCGCTAATTGAAATTGCTCATTTTTTTGCATTCAATTCATACTTTTTTTTCTTTCTACCTTTCAAATTGATTCTCGAAAATAATTACTCTAGAAAGAAGAAAGAGAAAGAGAGCTTAATCTGATTTTCGAATCGAATTTGTTCTCTTTCTGATTGAGAGCCTTTCTCTTTGTACTGGTTGATGATCATTTCAAATGAACGAATTTCTCGAATCTTTCTCTTGTTTATCTCAATTTTATAATATATATATATATATATACCGTATTTTCTGTAATAGTAGTGCGCACGACTATTTTTTCAACGCCCCTCCAGCCTGCACTACTATTATAGACTGCACTACTATTATAGACTGCACTACTATTACAGCCTGCACTACTATTACAGACTGCACTACTATTACAGACTGCACTACTATTACAGCAAATACGGTATATATATCAAATATTTTAACAAACGACAACAAAAAACCCCAAATCTTTAATAAGATATTTCATCAAATTAGTCACTACATTCAAGCAGCAAATCTTCAGCGAGAATTCTTCAATAAAGCGAAAAGCAAAAAGCAAAATTATTCCGTTTTACTGTTTGTTTACTTTTCACAGTGTTTCTTTAAAGATAAAAACTTCTACTAAACAAAAATCTTTAAAATTTCCTTTGAAAAGTCTTTGCATTCGCCTTCCCTTTTCTTTAAGTCTTTCTCTTTTTTTAAATTGATTTTGAGCCTTGTCCCCTCCATTTTCCCCCCACAAAAACGCTTTGTTTCGGCTTCTTTTATGTCTTTTTTTTGTGTTTTTTCCAGACTTTTGACTGCTATTTTCCAAAATTGCGAACTCGACTGGCCCATTTTAAATAGACTCCCTTCAAAACTTTTTTTAAAAGACTCTCTTCAAGACTTTTTTTCTTCAAAGCCTTTTTTATTTCCACTGTTGATTAAACTCTTTTACTTGAAATTTCAAATTCACCAGGGATTTCCTTTCTTGACATTTCGTTTGACTTCACGTTTTCTTCTAATCTTTATTTCATTTTGAAAAAATTTTGTTGACTTGAATAAAGTCAAAAATATTGGGGAAACTCCCAGGAAAGGAAAGTATTCGAGAAAATATTTGCGCCGACAGATCGGATTTCTCTTTTGTTCTTCCATTATTCTGCGGGGATTTCGTTAATTTCAGTGAGCCGCCAACTTGCTGTTTTGTCGACTTAAAAATCAAATTTTTCTTTTCTATTACCCTTTTTTTTGTTTATTTTGTTTATATCATGGTTTGAAGGGAGGATTTTTTGTGTGTGAATGGGAGATTGATGGGAAAGTGATGAAAAATTGATGATGCCCAGGATTTTTGGGCAACGGAAAAGGCCATTTTGAATCGATTCTCAATAGTTGAATCTTTCTCTCAAATATCTTTCGCAAAATGCAAAAAAAAAAAACGAGAAAAAAAGCATTTCAAAGCTCTTTCACTTAAACATGCAAAAGTTCTCCTTTACATATCATATCGTGTGCGTGTTGATGTCCATATCGTGTGCGTGTTGATGTTCATTTGATTTCCCTTTTCGAATATCTCCCATTCCTCACTCAATATCGTTTCCTTTTCTTCAGCTCTTAAATCATTTTTGTTTTTGATTTCTTTAAAAACTTTAAAACATTTGTTTAACCTTTGATTTGTGGTGATCATGAGTCATTTTGAACGGCGTTTAAACAACGAATTTAACAATGAAACAATTCTTTTCTTAACAATAAAACAATAAAACAATAAAAAGCCAATTCAGCCTAATAAATTATTGGTTTTCTTGTTGAGAATTTGAATGGAAAAGAAAAAGAAAGAGAGAAGAGTGAAGGGGCTCAGTTGAAGCATTCCAATATGGGAAGAATGAGAAAGGAAAGGATCGACAAAGGGCCAATTTGCACCCATCTCCTCCCCCATTTCTCTTCTCTTTTTTTTCCATGTGAATTCTTTTCTATAAAGCTTTTCTCTATATATTTCCTTCTGTCCTCTAAAAGGAGTCCCACAGCCTCATCCCCATCAAAACCCCCTCATTTCCCTTCCCAAAAAAATGATTCCCTTCAACCACTTCCATCCCTTTTTCTCATTTCAAGCTGTAAAATGTTAACTTGAGCTTATAGACTATTATCTTTATATCTTTATATCTTTATATCTTTATATTACCTTTCTATTACCTTTCTATTACCTTTCTATTACCTTTAAATTACCTTTAAATTACCTTTATACTCTCTAAACCCGATTCCCTTCAACAACTTTCATCTCAGCCACCAAAAAGTGCCTCATCTGAAAGTTATAAATGCGTACTCGTTAAGCGAAACTCTTGAAAAGGCTTCAAGTTGAAAGCTGAAACAAAAAAAACTGATTTGTATATTGGATGACTACAAGAGGCAGCAATGTACGTAAAAGGTAGGATACGATAAAATTAGCTATGTAGGGATAAACGTGCAAAATTAACCCTGCGCATAAACTGGACCAAATTTAGTGCAAATTTAATCTTTAAATTCGACCATCCTTTCATTTTTATATAACAAAACTCAATGAATTTGTCCCGCTCACCATTTTGCATTTCTACAATTTGTCCCACTCATCATTTTCCATTCCTTCCAATTTCTTATTCTCTATCTTTTTGCATATCAGAAACACGGAAATTTGAGCTTTTTCTTCTTTTTTTTTTCCTTCCCAATTTTCCCCATTCATTTCCATTTCATAGACTCTACCCTAAAGAAAACGCGGAAATCATTTTCCCGGGATTTTCGCGAATAAAATTTTCGATTGTTTTTCAAGTTTTTTTTTAAAAGTTTCTCCCTTAAAGCTTGAGTCATTTCAAAAACAATTTTTCGTTTTCCTTTCGATTTTTCCTTTCCCGTTTTCCCCTTCATTAATTGTGACCTCAAAACAGACATTTTTATGGCGATTTTTCGAATCGAAAACCCCTCGATACACTATAATTTGTAGGGATTTTGGCATTGAATTTGAAGTCGTAAAATCGTTTCCTAAAAACGCAACAAAAAAAGAGGGCAAAAACGAAGCTAGGCAACCGATATTTTGGTTACTCGGTGATTTGGGCATCAAAAGCCGGTTTAGAGTCAGTCAGTTTTTTTTGCCATTTTATAATTTCAAAAGATAATACGTGAATGGGGAAATATTAATGGGAAATGCAAAAGGAAAACCTTTCGATTTTTCTGATATTACATCAAATTCATGAGATTTTTGATAACAAAAAAAAGAAAACATGAAACTTTCGCGTTTTTTTTTTTTGAGTAAATCAATCTAAATCAAAATTTAAAGCGATATTTGCTCTATTTCAACTAGAGCGAATCATTGCCAAATGTTAGCTCAGTTGGTGGAAATAAAGGAAAAGGAAAAAGAAAATTTTTCTTTTTTTTTGAGCTTAAAGTTTTTTTTTGATGGAAAGAATTTGAAATTGTATAAATTTTTCCCCATTTTACCCACTTCAGAAACTCTAAAATTCATTGGAATTCACTGGAAATCATTGGAATTCATTGGAAATCATTGACATTCATTGGAAATCATTGGAATTCCCCTCAACTTTTCCTCTAATTTTTACTTTCGACTTTTCCTCTTTCACAAAACATTAAAAATATCATCACATCTAGATTTTCAAATAACTTTTCGCGTTTCCCAAATATTTCTTTGTTTATCTTTCAAGTTATAAAGAGAAGTTTAAAGAGAAGTTTGCTCAGAGAAGATTTGGGTGACTGAGAAGATCTCAGTTTAACCTTTTAAGCTCTCAAAGTTCCTTCCGAAATAATAATAACTTTTGAACGTAAAGTGAAAGAAATCATAGAGAAATGCACAGTGATATAATCAACAATACATACTGAAATCAATAAGCCAATTACTTACGGCAAAGAGCCACTAGATCTAAAGCATCGATACGTTTCTTGAATATGAAAAGCGACTGAATTTCTCGTATGTCGTTTGGGAGCAAGATCCATAATCTAGCGACTCTAACGGGAAATGAATTTGATAAAGAGGCATTGGAAGCAAAGGGAATTTGCAAAAGGAATGAGCCACTTCTGGGCCCTGACCGCGGTTTAAATTTGAAAAAGTCTATAAACAAAGGGCTAATCTGTTTACAACGGAGGATTTTGAAAGTTTCGACTAAATCAATGACAAAGCGACGATGCTGTAAAGTTTTTAGTTCAAAAAAAGCAAGTCTCTCCTCATAAGTAAAGCTAGAATATTTAGAATAGTCAATTTCGAAAAATCAAAGATCTTCTTTTTTGAATGGGCTCATCAATAAATTAATCCCCAATTTCCGAAGAAAACTCATTTTTTTCCCCTTTTTCAATGGGAGTGTTCTGGAAAAGCGAATGGAAAGATGACTATAACATTCAGATATTGATTAATATTCTTCTGCCTATTAATATTCTTCAAAAATACTATCACATACATCATTTTTTTTTTCTTTACTTTTTTGATTTCTAAAATGCCTGCATTAAAGGCAATTCCATCACTCAAAATTCCCGCTTTTTTCCATCGTCAATTTTCTTCGTTTTCTCCAAAAATGGCCGATCGACCGCCACCTGTAAGACGCAAATTTGGAGCACAATTCAGGTAGGGAAAAGTTGGAGGAAAAAAAAATAAATGAGACTTTGTGAGATTCGTTTCAAATTTCGTTTCAAATTTCACTTCAAATGTGATCTTCGAATCGAACTGGGTAAACGATTCACTCATTTCCATCATTTCAACTTTTAAACGATCGAGACTTTGTACTTTGTACTTTCAAAGAAAAAGAAAAACCCACCTCAAAAGATCAATATGGTGCACTACTATTAGAGAGAATACGGTAATTACTAAATCAACTCACAAGGAATACCGTTGTCTCTCTAAATAGATCCACCGTCAATCTGGTGCACTCGATTTTCACACCAATTTTGTGCACATTTGAAACACAAAATACACTTAAAAATCACGTTCAAACGAAGCGCTCTCAATACGATCTTTGTTCAATCCATTCTTCCATTCATCACATCCCCCAGCTTCCTCTTTTTTTTACGCACAAAAGATCGATTTTCAATGGATGAATCTCTTCTCTTTTTTTTTTTCATCTGATGTGGCACAAATCTCTTCCAAAATCCATAAAATCCTTTCAATTTACCCAATCTACAAGAATTTCCCCTCTAAACCCTCAAAAGTTTTGCAAAACTTTTTGCTTTCTTTTTGTTCCCTAGAGAAGACCCTAAAAGCTTTCTAGAAATCAAAACGAAAAAAAAAAGCTTTTTTCTTTTACAAAGTAAAGATTGAATGTTGTTTCTTTTCTTGCTGGATATGTCGATCCACTCCTTCATCCACCCATCCATCCACCCATCCATCCATCCATCCTTCCCAATCCTTTTCTCCTTTTCGCATCTTTGTGTTCGAAGGAAGGACCCCTTCCGCTGGAGTTTCCCTAAAAAACAACTAAAAATCCCGAAACTTTAGCCTTAAAAGTTTTTGTGTTCTCCCATTGATTCCTTTTTGATTGAGAATGTTCTTGTTGTTCTTCTCACCTTACATTTCACGATTTTCTTTTTCTTCTTCTTTCTTTCTTTCTTTCTTTCTTCTTTCCTTCTTTTTTTTTTCTTTCTTTCTTTCTTTCTTTCTTTCTTTCTTTCTTTCTTTCTTTCTTTCTTTCTTTCTTTCCAATCTTCTTCTGAAATCACCCTTTCAAGTATGTCCTTCTACATCTAAATCATGGTTTCCTCTTTTTCTCATTTCAACAATCCCATTTCTATTTCAATCTTATTTCTTTTTTCATCATCAGATTGACCTCCAGCAAAATTACATGGCTCTCGAGGAAAAAGAGGAAAATATATGAAAATTCTTATGCTTTGTTCTATCAAAAATCAACCTGAAAATACAAATGGGGAATGAGAAGAAAATGGTATTGAAAGAAGAGAGAGTGCAGTATTAAAGAAAAAGCCAATACTGTAAGAAGAAAAGCTATTTAACTACGTTCAGCAAAAAAAAAACTATTGGCTGATTTCAGAACACAGCTGTATTTTGTTTCGAATCATTCCAAAAAAAAATGCAAATGATTGCTGATGCAAAAAGAGGCGAATTTGCTTCTCGTTTGATTGAATTTCCTCTTCTTCACCTTATGTATTCACTTGAATTTCCCCTCTTTTCCTTCTAAACGAAAGCCTCTTCCTCTTCTTCCTCTTCTTCGTCTTCTTCCTCTTCTTCTTCCTCTTCTTCCTCTTCTTCCTCTTCTTCTTCGTCCTCTTCCTCTTCTTCCTCGTCTTCTTCTTCGTTCTTTTTCCATTCCCTTTTTTTTCAACTCCTATCGATTCACTCATAAATTCACTTTCACTTGAACTTATTCTTGAAATGATTCCCTCAGAATTGAGATCAAATATGGGTAAACTCTTCATAAAGATTGTACCGGCTGAACAATGGAAAAGGTGACAATTAAATGAGCTGAATCAAATCAAATGTAATACTGTAATACTCATGCTTCAAATAAAACTAAATACATTCAGAATTTAATGCTTTTCAATGCTTTGCTATTTTTTCAAATTTTAGACACGGCGATGATCTGATCGTTACCCCATTCGCGCAGTTGTTGGCGAGTTTGCGAAATGTGCGAACGAATCTCATTCAAATCGCCAATATTCACCATTTAGACGAGGGAAGGCATCAAAATCGGTGAGGGGAAATTGTGAATAATATGAAAATAGAAAATAAAAGTTTCTAATTGAAAGATTTATTTTAATGAAGTGATTCAGAAGTGCAAAACGACCACCACTTCATTCAACAGCGCTCCCAGAAAATGTTGTCTCAACCGCGGCCGAGACACTTGGTTTGTTTTATTGTACTAAAGATTTTTGAAAAATCTTAAGCTTAATCTATCTACCGTATTCTCTCTAATAGTAGTGCACGGCGGCAAGCCGAGTTGATGAGTATTTGACGGTTTCCAAGCTTTTGCAGAAGCTCAACACTTTAATCCCCCACATGATCTCATCGTCAGCTACATTTTCCGACCCCACATCGATAGGTTCTGATAAGCGCGTTTTGAGATTTCGAGGAATTTAGGCAACGCTTATGGTGCACTACTATTAGAGAGAATACGGTAATTACTAAATCAACTCATAAGGAATACCGTTGTCTCTCTAATAGTAGTGCACGGCGGCAAGCCGAGTTGATGAGTATTTGACGGGTTCTAAGTTTTCGCAGAAGCTCAACACTCAAATCCCCCACAAGCTCTCAACGTCAGCTACATTTTCCGACCCCACATCGATAGGTTCTGATAAGCGCTTTTCGAGATTTCGAGGAATTTAGGCAACGCTCTGGGTGCACTACTATTAGAGAGAATACGGTGTATTCTATAAAAACTATATTGTACATGCAATTTATATATATAGATATATATATATATATATAGTATATATCAATTTCAGAAGAGCTTGATTGGTGCTTGGATCAATTGGAGACAATTCAAACGCATCGATCTGTCTCCGAGATGGCATCGAGCAAGGTTAGGCTTTAAAGAAATCAATGAGATTGTAAATATTTTGATAGAATATTTATACATATTTAAGTATTTATTATAGAAATAAGATATTCATCATCATAGTAGAGCAAAATAAAACAGAAAACTTATGTGCTGTGATTTGTGTCAATGATGTCAGTGATATGCATACAGGGAATGAAATAACAAAGCTACCGCTATCGCTGTTGATGTTCATTCATGTTGCGTGATTTGTGCACATTTTTGGATAAAGATCACAGATCCACGGAATGAGTGGATTGGTCTAGACTCTAGACGATTAAAATCCTTCAATGAGATCTTTCTCTTCTCGTTTCAATTCACCGCTCATTTCACCCTTCGGCTCAATGCCAGAATTTCACAAATGGATTGGATCGAGTTACAATTGGAGAACGACTCAAGAAAATAGAAGAAATAAAAGAGAACGAGTCATCTGATCGTTCTCTTTTCTTTTGCAATTCATTTATTCAATGATCAACCCTCGCGAACATCTCACCGAACACCATTCACACATTCATTTTCTCACCAGTTTATTCTTTCAAATTGTTTACGAGTAACTGTCTGTCTTATTAGTCTTTATCATTTATTTGTTGTATTGACGTCAACTATAACTAGAAATTCTAGTCTAGACTTGTCCCTTTGCACAAACTAGACCCCTTTCCCTTACTCCACAATCTAGCTGGTCTTCTCGTTCTCCTTTAAGACTCGTTCCCCTTTACAATTAGTATATTTTTATGAAAATTTCACATCCAAATTGCTAGACTTTAATTAGCAATCTTTGAAAATTTTAAAGCTTTAGAAGCTCTTTAATTAGCTTTGGATACTTCTCAAGTTTTGCAAACTTATAAGATAAAGTTAAGCTTTGTAACTCATTTCATTTGAAATCTTTCATTTCCTTTCATTTCCATTCATTTCTTGCTTCACTTGTTCCCCTCTGGGTCGTGTTCTCAATGACGTCGACAGACAGACAAACACCATTTCACAGAAAAGAAGACAAGAAAGTCCGTGAAAAAGAGAAAAGAGATCAAAAGGTCGATGGGTGCAAAAAGAAAAGAAAAGAAAAGGAATACCTGGAGAAAAAGGAAAAGAAAGAAGAAAAGAAAGAAGAAAAGAAAGAAGAAAAGAAAGAAGAAAAGAAAGAAGAAAAGAAAGAAGAAAAGAAAGAAGAAAAGAAAGAAGAAAAGAAAGAAGAAAAGAAAGAAGGGACCTAGACAAGACTGTGCAAGAGATAGACTACTCACACACATCTTAGACTAGCCTAGTTCACATCGGGATCACACTTTTTCTGCGCGGTCGCTTCTGATATCACATCTCAATGCACACCCTCACTTCTCCAACAACTCATCTCAACTTTGTGTTGTCTCAAATCGTTTGTTGATCGCTCATCACCTCCTCTCGAATTACTCTTTTCCCTCCAAGTACTTTGTCTGTCTTTTTCCCCTTCAAATCACACTTAAAAATGACTCATCTTTTGAGCACTTTTTCACAGACTTTTCATTTAAAAAGCTTTACAAGAAAAAAAAAACGTTTCCGTTCAACAATTTGCTCAAAAATTGCCGAATACTCGGAAATTTCTTTATTATTTTTCATCGAAGCTACATGATATTTCAATAAAATTTCTTCAAAGACTTCTTGTCTTTTTATCGAAGATCTTATCAATGACTTAAAACAAATTGTGATAGAAAAGAAAATAAGAGAAAGAAGATAGAAGAAAGAAGATAGAAGAAAGAAGAAAGAAGAAAGAAGATAGAAGATAGAAGATAGAAGAAAGAAGATAGAAGAAAGAAGAAAGAAGATAGAAGATAGAAGAAAGAAGATAGAAGAAAGAAAGAAAGAAAGAAAAGAAGGGAAAGAATCATGAATGAATTGAAACAAATATTTTCCATTTCACGGCCAAATATTTTGCTGACGTTTCAAAGAAGAAGATCGTTCGATTTTAAACAAAAAAAATGAGAAAAAAATTGGAGAATCATAAAGACAAAACATCGAGAATGAAAAAAAAAAGGAGAAGCTATTGGCAAAAAGGATCTAAAGATCACGTGGAATGAAAGGAAATAAATATCAATATTGTTATATGTTTGTGGATTGTTTATGGCTTGTTCGTTTTCTCGAAACAAAAGTCTCCTCGACATTCACCCATCTCCATGTACAAACAGCTTATTATTAGTGCAATCTTGTCTTTTTGATGTTCCCCTTTTTGCCATTTCCCCTTTTCAAATCATTCAGCTGACCCTTGTTTTGTCCTTTCCATTTTCCCCTTTTAAGCTTAGTCCTTTTTTTCAGCTAGACTCATCAATTCCTCTTTCTAAAGAAATACTAATCCTTTACGCGTTTGGTCAACGAACTCTTAACTTTATAAAATTTGACTAGGCTTGAAAACTTATTCAGATATTCAGTTAAACTCTCTTTTTCTGTTTTTCACGCTGATTTAACCAAAAAAATCCAAGAACGGCGGTTCTTTTTCCAGTATTTTCATTTTCATTTAGAGAGAACTACAATTGACAAAATAAAAATCGTTTCTTTTATACTTGATCTGATCAAAACATTGCCAACACTTGACTTGATTGAATAAAAGAAATAGTTCTCGCACGTGATCCCCATCCATTCCCCTTTTCACTCATTCCATAAAACTTCTCAATCTTGGCATTTTTCCCCTTTCACTCTTTTTTTGTTGTTTTTCTGGTTTCGTTTTCCATGGAAGAATGGGTACCAACTAGGGACATTCTAAGGAAAACAGACAGAATATTCAACTGATTCATTGTTTTGTTTTGTTTTTCTGGTGTTTTTGATGAAGAAATTCTTGATCTTTTTAGAATGTTTAAAATTTTTGAATTGGTCAAGCTCACGAAGAAGTCTTTGTCTTTTAAATAAACTACAAGATTTTGATGAGTTTTCTGATGACTTCCTGGAATTGACCTAACTTTTTTTTGGGGGGATTTCCTCTGATGTGAGATTCTGAGTGATGGATTGAGAACTTTTCCAAAGAGTAAAAAAGAGATTGGGAAGAAGTTGATTGAATTTGGATTCAGAAGAAAGGGGAATAGATGGATCCTTTTTGAGGGGGGAAGAGCCTCCTCCTTCTCCTCCTTTCCTTCAACATACTTCAATTTGGACTCTCGGATCACCATTCTCCTTGTTCTTTTTTTCTTTTCCTAAAATTGAACACATCTGGATGTGATTCTCAAGATTTTCTTCCTGTTTTCCCTTGATTTAACCGAGATTTATCGTACAAAATGTGCTCGAAATTTACTTTGAAATCACTTCAAAAACTAGAAAGAACTAGAAGAATAGAAAGTCTATCTGAGCGGCTGAGCTCCAACTAAAAAGATAGAATAGCAAGTCTATCTTTTTAGTTGGAGCTCAGCCGCATGAACTTAAAACTATTGTTGGACTGTTGAACCTTTTGCAAGTTGTTTCAAGAGTTCAACACAGAAACTCTTTAACTACCTATGTACATGTATGATGATGTGTACATATTGCTGTACACATATATGATGTGTACATAGTTTACCAATGTACATGCCTATGATATTCACTCAGTCGGCGTCAGCGATAATTTCTTTCTTATCGAAAATTCTCAAGTATTTCCATGAAAATGTGTGTATGTTTTCTCTTCTCATTATCAGTGAAATATCACAAATTTTTATGGTCTATCACTCCCTTTTTTTTTTCTTTCTTTATTTTCTTCATTTCCCCTATTAGTTTTTATTCACTCCAAACATCCCCATCCCATCCATTTAATTGCCTTGTTCTGTTGTCATCTTGTCTTCTTGTCTTCTTGTCTTCTTGTCTTCTTGTCTTCTCCACTTCTTGTCTCACCCAAATGTCACCACCCAAAATTTACGATATTCTCCCAGATTCACTTCCCCGTTTTCAATATGAAATCACTTTTTCTCCGACTTTTTTTCTAAGTGTTTTCTAGTGACTCAAAGGGAAAAACTCGTTCATTTCAATGAGTGTTTTATTCAAATTTTCATAAGCTTTTGCACGTCAGACTTTTGCATTCTTTTTGCGTGAAATTTGTCCGCCTCCACACCTGTGTGTACTCAATAAATAGGAGAAGAGTCTGACCTGATCGAAGAATTTCCTCAAATCATTTGACAGTTTTTGTGAATTCAGTTTTTGTGATCTTTTTCTCCACCCACACAGGAAAAAAGTCATTAAATTTGTTGATTTTGTTGATTAGTTTTATGATTGAATGAATCAGTTCAATCAGTGAGCTTTTCCTTTTACTTTCATTCTTCTCAAAAAGTCTATACTCTATTTGTTTTCCCTCAATTGTTTGTGATTAGGATTCATTTCTTTTTTGCATTGCTTTTCAAACAATTTAAGTATGAGTTATCGTTTTTTTCCCTCTTTGCACATATCTTTTACAAAAATTCAAAAGTCTAGAAGCGATTTTTCAAGTGGAAGAAAAAAAAGAAAAGAAGAAAACACTTTGCACAGATGCCCTTCTTTCTTTTTCTTTTACTTTTCATCATTTTTGATGAGGTTCACGTGATCTTCTTCGATTTCTCTCCAAGAATTGTCTTTTTTGTGATCTGCTCCTTTACCTTTTCCCCTTCTCCATTCACGAAATACTCAACTTTTCTCAGCTGTAAATTCTCTTGGATTCTCTCCAGAAGCTATCCAATTGTTATCGAAAAGCTATCCAGCTATCCATCGAAAAGCTATCCAGCTATCCATGTTATCAAAAAGCTATCCAGCTATCCAGCAATCCAGCAATCCAGCTATCCAGCTATCCAGCGATCCAGCAACCCAGCTATCCAGCTATCCAGCAATCCAGCTATCCAGCAATCCAGCAATCCAGCTATCCAGCTATCCAGCGATCCAGCAACCCAGCTATCCAGCTATCCAGCTATCCAGCTATCCAGCAACCCAGCTATCCAGCTATCCAGCTATCCAGCTATCCAGCTATCCAGCTATCCAGCTATCCAGCAATCCAGCTATCCAGCTATCCAGCTATCCAGCTATCCAGCAATCCAGCTATCCAGCTATCCAGCTATCCAGCTATCCAGCAATCCAGCTATCCAGCTATCCAGCTATCCAGCTATCCAGCAATCCAGCTATCCAGCAATCCAGCTATCCAGCTATCCAGCTATCCAGCTATCCAGCTATCCATGTTATCGAAAAGCTACCCAGCTATCCAGCTTTGTTTTTTTAAGACATCTATCTTTCCGAATCTATGAACCTATCAAGCTGTAAACAACGATCGAATTTTTCTTTTGCCCAAACACCAGGAGCCAAAAATTTTTGTTTGATTATAAGTGTCAAATGTAAATGTCGTTGCTGTCAATCATAATTTGATATTCGCATTCGATGGAGAACACTTTCAATGAAATGATGGATGAATCGACATCAAGAAAAGACCACAAATATCTTTGACAAATTCTTTCGTAACATCAAAATTTGTTTTCCAGCTATAAATGTTCTAGGTTTGATTCTAGACTTGTTTATTGATAAGAGTTAAAAGGTTATTTAAAGAATTTGTACGTACCAATAGGCTCTTCTCATAAATTCTCATCTTCTCACAGTATAGCCTCAAGTTTTCTGCTTCATTATAGCTTGCAGAACTAAAAAGTTTTAAGTTCATACGGTTGAACGCTAACTAAAAAGATATCCAGACTTGCTATCATACTGAATTGAGATAGCTGTAGATGTTGGGGGAATCCCTCCCTCAGCCAAACCACTTCTCACTTCTCATCCCCCCGGGTGTTCTCCTCATTTCCCGTGTTTGATCGAAGCTGTGACGTCGTCTCCTCCCTCACTTCTATCCGACTATCCACAATACTTTTTCTTTTCCGTCCCTTCTTTTCTCCACCCGTTTACTCACTTCCCCTCCTCCCCTTCCCCTCTTTTCAACAATCACATTTGCACACGACCTCTCTTTTTTTCCTCCCCCTCTTAGCTAGCTTTTCTTTCATTTTTTTTCCAGTTGATCCCTGAAATTTTTCTAACTGATCACTTCACTCAGAAGTACTTTTTGATCTAAACTTCTTTCATTGATTTTGATAATATCAATCTCTTGCCTGTAATCCAATTTGTTTTCCTTTAAAGATCAAATCATTATTTTTTTTGTGCTAATTGAAATCTGTTCTCACAGCTGCAAATCTCTTTAGCCTTTTCATTTTTCAATCAAAAACATCTGTGCTGGGTCTTGTGATTTTAGGAGAGAGAGAGAGAGAGATCAACTCTGAGTAAGAATTTTTAAGATTTTTATGTTCTGTAAAATAAGTAACTGGTTTGAGAAATTTTATGGGGTAATTAAACTCTTTCGAATTATTATATCTTATCAACAATTAGTCGACTAATTTCCGGTGAAAAAAAAAAGGAGAAGGCGGTGATCATTCATTTGCGAAGACTTTATGGAATGAAATTGGAGATTGAAGAATGAAAAGAGAGGGGAAAGAAAATGATAGAGTGATAGACTAATGGATTAGCAAATGGTTTAGTGATCATCAATGGTTGAAAGAGAAAAAAAAGATGTGGGGGGGAAAGTTGAGAGAATTGGATGAAAGAGAAATTTTGGGGTAGGGGGGGGGGGGAGGGGTGAAAAAGCGGTGTACCCGTTTCACCCACAGCACAGACAACACCGGAAACTCGGCGTCCGTTGTGCGGTCGAAGATTTTTCCATTCTTTCTTTTTCTTCATTGCTGGCTACCTATGGAAAATATTGTTGCTTTTTAAATCAAATCTAATAGATACCTATCTAATAGAATGTTTATTTCATTCTACCCTGACTCTGCTACTTTTTAAGGTCAAATTTTTCGTCAACTACGTCAACTTGAGTCTATTGATGTCTGAATAAACCCTCTGGATACTTGCAATTCTTTGTTCAAATCCACGAAACGATTCTCGTTTGAAGGGATGAAAAAAAAAATGTGCACGATTGACAGAATATTTGCTCTTTTGCAAAAATGGCTTTGTTCTGTTGTGTTTTCTTCTCTTTCTCCTTTTTTAGGATTCATTGTCCGGATCTTTTTCTCTCGCCCCAAAAGATGTTTGTTTGGCCTCGAATCGGCTCTTCCCATTTATTCCCCAAATTTTGACCATTTTCATCATTTTCAATATCATTCAACTATAAAATTGTCTAACAACCTAAACAAATCTCTTCTTTTTTTTTTTTCTTTAATCATGTACTCGCTATTTTCCTTGATCATTCTATTTTCCAAATTTGCCTAATTACCCCTTCAATGTTCCCCCTCAATTCAAGATTTGGCCAATTTCACCTCACCCACTCAACGTTTTTTTTCAATTCAAACAAAATGATTCCATAAATTTTAGAAGATTTACGACTTTTCTAGGAAAAACCTTTTTTAAAAGACTAAGATTTTGAGTATTTATTTAGCAACTGATCGTTTTATTGTATCAAATTTTTCCGAATAAGGCTTCTTGTTTACGATTTCCAAATCTCAACACATCCTATCAATCAAATTTCATTCTACATATTGATCTTCTTGCAAAACTAGACACAATTCCCCTTTTTTTTTGTGCATTTTCTTTTCTCTCTTTCTTTTCTCTCTTTCTTTTTTCTCTTTCTTTTTTCTCTTTCTTTTTTCTCTTTCTTTTTTCTCATCTCAATTTCCGGTATTCTTCCCACCTTTTGGCTGATTTGTGACCCTGAACAACCGCAAACGATTTTCTCGATCATTTTTTTTTTGCAGAAATCTTTGCTTCTTTTTTTCCACTCTTATCCTCTTAGTTTTTCCATTAAAATACGAATTTTATTCGTTTAATTCCATTCATTTATTTATTTATTTAATTCCATTCTTTTGCGATGATCCTGCCGAAAAATGTGAGAATTTTCATGTTATGCGAAAATCGTCAAAAGATTTTCGATTTAGATCGTAATTTTTAAAGCCGTAATCTTACTAAATGTAAATTTAAATCGGGTTCAAGGGGAGAGAATTTTTTTCTGGAAATTACCTCGAACCTCACCCAATTATCGGACACTCATACCACTTTTGTTTATTCCTTTTTTCCAATAAATCTATTTACTTTAATCTTACTTGAATTTTTGGTGTTTTTATCTTTTCAAAACCATTTCCCGGTTTCCTTTTTCGATTCCGAGACATTACGTATGCATTTTCGAGAAGGGAAACGACAAAGGGAAAAAGATTTGAAAAAGAACCAACACGTGTTGTATATATCCCCGGAAGGAGAATTCACAAATCGTTTGCACCACTCTTTTCTCCTAAATATCAATCGTTTTTGCTTGAATTTCATTTTAGAAATTCGGTTCATAAAAACATTTTTTTCCTGTGTTACATTGAGGTGACCGTTTTTTTTTGTCTTTGCAAAATTTGCGAACTGATAAGAACACGTGAAATTTTAAACTCTTAAGAGTATTTTACTCTCTCTCTCGAAATATTTCATATTTCGTCATTGTTTACTTTTTGGAAATCCCTATGGGAATTGAATCGTAATAGAAGACGAGTAGAAATTTGGAATAAGTGTGAGTCAGGAAAAAGAAAGAAATGTCTCATTGAAATGACGTCATAGATCACAGAATGGATCACAGAGCTTTAGACTGTTTCCATGACTTTTCATCATCACATTTTACCCCCCTTTTCACCCCTTTCATCTACTTATTTCCTAATGGATTTCCACCCGTTTTCTCTCCGATTTCTAATCGTATTAGTACTCCTAAACCACCTCTTTTTTTTCTCACTAATCTTTTTCACCTGTGTTTTTTTTTGTTGGCATTACTTTTCATTCATTTCTTTTCTTCATTTCTTTTCTGATTACAATCTTTTACAGAGCTCTCATTCTTTATTGCAATCAGTGTGAAACTGTCCGTGAAAATTCCGTCTTCATCGTGTCATCTCGTCATTTCATCTCAATCCCCGGGTCTCCTTTCCACATTTCATTCATCTCAATCACCCGATTCTCCAAGAATGACTGGCCGATTAGAGGCTCTCACTCAACATCATCATCCAACAATTTCCATTTTCCCTTTTTCAATTCCTCCATCACCCACATCAACAACATCACCGACAAACGACGGGTTTTATGGAGGAGAACATGTAGGCACAACTTCAACATTTTAGTACATTCAAATGCTATGGTGATAAATGAATATCTTATTATATTATTAAAAGAAATTAAACACTAGGAATCAAAAGACACTTATCGCACTTAATGCTTTCTTTAAATGAAAATTTTCAGTTCCGAAAGATGCTGAACAAGGAGCTTTCCCATTTCGCTGAGACATCCAAGTCTGGAACCCAGGTGAGGGGAATTTCTTTCAAAAACTATATTCGAATCGTAATTCTTTTCATCAAAAGCAATAAAATGAAACGTCACAGCTGGTTATCACAAATATTTTCATCGAGCTTGACTTGTGAACGAGTTTTTTATCAGTGTTTATGAGAGAATGAAAAGGACATTCCCAAGGGGATTACAAACACTACGTAGCATCCATAAAATACCGTAGATAAATGAAATTTTCAGTCTTTCAGTCTTTAATTACCGTAACTGAGCTTATTTCATTCATTGCCATCTTTCAGGTGTCAAAATTCCTCATCACAACCTATATGGATAAAGAAGAAGAGGACGATCAAAGCCCATCCGTCGAAGTTGAGGTTTGTTTTATGATCTCAGAAATTTGTTATAAAAGATATCTGTATTCTAGAAAGTCTATTAACTTTTTCTGATTATAAAGGATAATTGAAAAAAAAGGCTCTCAAAAAGGGATCAAGAGATGAGAAAAGAGAAAAATTGAATAGATAAAACAGGGATTTTCAGAAGAGATGAGGTCGGCTAATCGTTTGACGTGCACAAAATCTTCTTAATTCTGATTAAGACCAAAGGGAGTGGGAAGGGGATAGAAGAGGGTGAATCTTGGAGGATGGGGGGGAGAGGAGGATGGGAGGGGACCCCAACACCAAAGTTGTCTATCAAGATTTTTGACCTCTCAACAATAAAAATATCTCTTTTTTTACTCTATTTATCTGTAAGTAAAAGATAAACATTTCCATGAGCTTTTCTCAAAATCCATTCACTTATTTCTCATTCATTTCATTCATTTAGGCGCCATCCACCTCCGCGGCGCCTCACGTTTCGATGGGTCTCTTGAAGAAAGCTCAAACAGCTGCTATGAATCGAATTTCTGGTTTGATTTTAGAAATAAATCTTCAAAAGATTAGAGATTATGTAAATAATCAAAAAAGAAACATTGTAGGTGTTCGCAAATTGAGAGCCCATTCTCATGATGGTCATCTCCCCGAGTTTGGTGTCTCGTGCGCGGCTGAGATTGCCGTTCACATGCAAATGGTATTTTTTTTTGTTTTTTGAATTGTGTTTTTTCGAATCTTATTTAATGATGTGTGGATTTTTTTAGCTAAACGATTGGGGTCCAAATGTTTTCAAGATCAACGATTTATCGAAGAACCACGCGCTCACCGCTGTCACTTACACTTTGCTCAAAGTGAGTTCTCAAAAAGTGAACTCAAAATTAGATGAGATATTCTTTAAAATAGCAAATCTAATCTAATCTTTTAGATCTAAATCTGATCTAATTTCTAATCTAAGATGAAAATACCAAATTCCAGGAACGAGGCCTCATCAAGACGTTCGAGATCCCGGCCAACACTCTGATCACCTATTTGCTCAATTTGGAACACCATTACAAAGTAAGTTTTCTTAGGAATTATTTCTTCGGAAAGGAACTTTTCACTTTTAAACACTTTTTCATCAAAATTTCATTCAAATTGCAATTCCCAATCTTTTCAGGACAATCCTTATCACAATCACATCCATGGTGCCGATGTGGCTCAATCAATGCACGTTCTCATCTCCTCACCCGTTCTCGAGGTTTGTAAATGAAATGAAAAAAAAAGAAAACCCTTTCAATACTTTCAATTATCTTTTAGTAAAAAGTTTTTCTTTAGAATGTCTTCAATGAGCTCGAGATTTTGGCAGCAATCTTTGCTGGTGCCATTCACGATGTCGATCATCCCGGATTCACCAATCAATATCTCATCAATACAAGTAATCATTTTATTCACTCAAATTTGCATCTATTTGTAAACTTGTCTCTGACAAAGTTTCAAAAAAAAAAACAATCTCAAAGTTCCATTTTTGTACCACCGATATCTAATCTCACTTTTGCGGTCACTTTTGCTGGGATTTGCGCAAATTTTCTGTGATTTTCCGATAAGCTGCACGCAACTCAACAAATCTAGGCTGTGCTTTTCAAAAGAGATTTTAAGAAATTTCAATGGATAAATATAAATGGAAATGATTACAATTTAGACAACGAGTTGGCGATCATGTATAATGATGAGAGTGTCCTCGAACAACATCATTTAGCTGTGGCATTTAAATTATTGCAGGTAAAATTGTGAGAAGAAATTTTGAGAAAGAAAGAAGACTTTTACAGGATTCGAACTGTGATTTCCTAGCAAATTTGCCCAGAAAGCAACGACTTCAGTTCAGAAAAATCGTCATCGATATGGTGAGTTTTCGAAAAAAAAGTTCAAAGTTCAAGTCTTTTCAGTTCAAAATTACATGAATTGATTGATTGATTGAATATTGATTTCAAATAGAAATATTTATCAATAGCCGTACTTCTAATCTTTCTACATATAGAGACCAAAAACCCAAACTTTCGACAATCAATCATTCGTGTGTTTGTCAATCCATTCATCCATTAATCTACTCCCCGTTTTCCCGATTTTTCTCCTTTCTTTTTCCTTTCTGAATCATCTCTTTCCATAGATTTATCAATTGCATCAATAATTCAATGTTCAAAAAAAAGCAGTAGTGGCTTTGATTTGAGCCGCCTTCCGGCTTCCTTTTTTTTTACTATTTGGAAGGATTTCCTATCCAAAGATGGATGGATACAAAAGTGATAGGAGAGAAGAGAGAGAGAGAATTTCTCTAGAAAAGAACCTTTCTTTTTTCTTTTTTTGATTAAACACCGGAAATGATCGATCATCGTTTTGCTAATTGCTTGTGATGGAAGACGGGCGACCGGGTGCCACACAAAAAGAAATGCCTTTTCGAATAAAATAGCATTTTAAGATAACTCTTTAAAGAGGGAATATTTTTTAAAAATAAAGAACTTTTGATAAACAAGTGTATTTATTTGCAAATTCAGGTTCTGGCTACTGATATGTCGAAACACATGTCCTTGTTGGCCGATCTGAAGACAATGGTTGAAGCAAAGAAAGTAGCCGGATCGAGTGTTGTTTTGCTTGATAAATACAATGACAGGATTCAGGTAGAACTTTTTTTTCCCTTTGATTTCAATATTGGTATCTTTCAGGTTCTCCAATCAATGATCCATTTGGCGGATCTCTCGAATCCGACAAAGCCCATTGACCTTTATCGGCAATGGAATGAAAGAATACTTGAAGAATATTGGAGACAAGGAGATAAGGTAAAGAAATGAGAAATGAGGCTGAATAATATGCATTAGCTTGGGAAAATTTGAATTTACGAAGAATTTACTTTTGCAGGAACGCGAAGCCGGAATCCCGATATCACCAATGTGTGATCGAAACAATGTAACGATTGAGCAGAGTCAAGTAAGCAAAGAAAAAAAAAAGATCAATGAAAACAAAACAAAAAAATTGCAGGTTGGTTTCATTGATTACATCGTTCATCCACTTTATGAGACTTGGGCTGATCTCGTTTATCCTGATGCACAAGAAATACTCGATAAACTTGAAGAAAATCGGTGAGTTGAAAAGAAGAAACAATTGCATAAATTCGTACAACTAACTGTAAATTGTTCTTTTCTAAAAGGTGCACATAAAAGCTACTACACTCCGCTATCTTTTTAGGCTTAGCAAATTGGGAGCTTAGACTTTTTAGCAAATTGGAAGCTTAGACAATATGTTTAGACAAGCTTAGACATAAGATAAAACCTAATTTACTCGTGTTTCTATAGAAAAGGCTAGGGATTACCATAGTTTACCCTTGTTGTAGAAAGCATTGTAGAAAACACTTGAACCAAAAACAATAGTCTACTTGTAAACACTGAAACTGTAAACACTACTGTAAACAGGCTTGTCAGGGGGAAATTACAAAATCTAATGCAGAGAATAAACATTTCAAATGAAATCTTTTTCCAGAGAATGGTACCAATCTCGAATCCCCCAAGAAGAGCCAACTCCCGAGAAGAAAGACGAGAATCATTCAACACAAAATGACACGAATCACAAGGCAAAAAGCTAGCCCTCCTTGAGATATCTCATAAGCAAATGTTATCTTTTCTTTGCTCTCCGTACGCGCGACATACACACAACACCCCCAACCGGTACTTTCGCCATACGGTTATCTAAATGTCTCCCATTTTTATCTCCTCTCAAGATCACCAAAATCTCTAGTCAAACACCGATTACCTATGAATTTCTATAAAACAAATCTGATGACTATTTTGTATATCATATATTTCTTGGTTTTTCTTTTCTCTATTTATCCATGTCAATATGCGAGTAGGGTGCTTGATTTCACACGCTTAGTTGGGTATATCCAAATGAATTCAATGTCGCCCGATGTATTCTTTTTTTAAGTTTTTATTCATGCCAAGTTGCCAAATTATATTTGTCCTTATTTTGTGTGAATTATGATGTTTCAATTGATATTGTAGCCGTATTGAGAGGTTAGGTGCTGAAAGCAAAGGATTATCCTTCTTCAAATCCTACCATCACAATTCATTCTTTTTTTTCGTTTTGTTTATCTCTCTGAAATTGATAGCAAGTTCTCAGCCGATGCTTTACCTATTTGTTGCCTCATCTTTTATTCGGTATTATCCTTTCTTTAAAATTTCCTTTTGATATCATCTTAAAAATCTTGCCAACACTTTTTTCTAAACATGGCCAGCCTTTCTTCGTATTTTTTTCGCTCTCATTTACCCAATTGTCCTGTATAATTTTTGATCTTAAGTCCCTTAATTTGATTTGTGATAAATTCACAGAAAATCTAGCTTTAAAACTATTTTACATGATTCAAATTAAATGCACCGCAGAGCTGCACTTATCTCGAATAAATTTCTATTTTATAATCGATTTATAATTCATAACATAGTAATAACACATATTCGCAATTTGAGATACTGAAATTAAAGAGACACCCGAAATGAGAAATTACAAAAATTTAAAAAACAGACTAGTTAAACCGTCGTTGTTCGCGTTCTTTCATCTCATGGAATTTGGCATTTCGCGCATGATATCCACCGCTGAGTTGCTTCCTAAATATTAAATTATTACAAACAAAAAGCAATTTAATTAGTTTCAGGGGTAAAAAATAACTAAATTTATTTTACCTGTAGGACTCGTACATATCAGTGCCTTGACCGAGCCCCTTATACATTTCTCCTTTCTCTCTCACTTCACCCGCATTGATTGGCGCTTGAATCCCCTGGAAGAAACGTGTAGAAGTTTTTTTTAGAATTAGTTTACGGATTCATTTGCCCCAAGACCGGTTCCCTTCCATCCCATTTTGGCCATAAGTTGAGCTCCTTTGTTTTCCATTCCGAGGGGCGTTGCAGGCGCTCTAGTTTGCATAAAAGCAGACATTGGAGGCATACTAAAAAACTTATCAGTAGTTTAAATATTTAATTTACTAATTCTCAGGAGTTGGAGACCGAGGCCGTCTATATGCTCCAGGGGTAGAACTGCGTGAACGTGAACGAGAGCGTGACAAAGATCGGGATGAATCACGACGGCGATCGGAAGAGGCAGATCGGGAACGTCTTCTAAAAGAAAATGTATTGATTCAATACTATTGAAAGCACTAAAAATATTACCTCCGACGGCTTCTAGAAGAACTTCTCGAACTTGAACGTGATGATGAAGATGTTCTGCTTTTTGATCGACTTCTTCGAGAACTAAATAATTTTTCAATTTAGGTATTTAGCAAATACATTAGGAAAATTTACTCAATGGCAGCTTGTCGTGCTTCACGTCGTGCTCTTTCTTGTTCTCGCATCTCTTCATCGAAATCTTCTTGAGACATCTTGTTCGTAATCATTTCTCCTGGATCTTTCCCTAAAACATAATGATGTTACTTATTGCAAAATGATTTTACCATCCGCTATGAGCTTTTCCGTTTGGATACTCTTCATGTGCATTTTTCGTTCAAAGAATGCAGCCAGTCCACCAGCTTCCCACCCAAGTCTAAACAAGAAAAAAAAGTAAAAAGAAAAGCTACAATAGAAAAACTCGTCTCGTGGTGGCAAATCGGGGCCTTCCGCATAAAACATTTGTATAGCGTGCCGAAGAGAAGCTGATGGAGGCATTGGTGGTTCAAGGCGAATAGCATTTGGATCCATTGCCTTGTACTGAAAGATTTTACTTTGAGGAAGTTATAGTTAAATCACCGTAAATTCATGCATATCAATTCGAGCTTTCATTAAGCCAGCCGGTGTATCCCAATATTCGCATTTTGGAATGAGATCCTCTTCGTTGTATTCAACTCCATCAATGTCGTCTTCATCTTGATCTTTTTGAGGTACTAAATCATCAAGATTAAAAAAAATAAAGTTGTCAATTACCTTGTCGATTTTTCTGCGGACTTTCAAAGCTTGAATTTTCCGGATGTTCTCGGGGGAATCTTGAAGGGGCTGATTGGTCAAACCGAGAACTAAAACTAAATAAACTCTAACTTTTAACAAATCAATACCGCCGTCGGCCCTCATAATCAGCAGGAGGAGCTATATCCATTGCTAGAAGTGATTTTGGTACATCTGAAATCACCATAAAACAAAAAAATACTCAAATTTACTTGCCTGGTCTTTCTGAAAGTTCGATTTGATTCTCAAGCCTTTTGATTTCCCTCACTTGGTGTGCACAAAATTCTTTATGCTGTGCCTCATACCCCGCTAGCATGGCCACTAGATTGGTTTCGATTGATTGAGCGAGCTAAATTTGAATTAGGTAAACCAAAATTTCAAACACTTGCATGTCCATATTCTCCATATAAAGTAGTCTTCTCGGTCGTAAAAATCATAGATGGATTGCGCAATTGCTAAAGTAGATAATTAAATTCAAAAATAACCGTGAGTCAAATATTACCTTAAAGCATTGATCGTTAAAGTATTTGTGCCCTTCCCAGGTTCCCAGCAATTTATCAAGTTTTTCCGTTACAGTCATTCTAAATGTGGAACGTTCTTTCCATCACAATGTTGAATTAAACCTGTCTTGAGCACATTCAGATACCCATGCATACATCTTTGGAACATAACGGGATAACATTTGTGTTTGAGTGTCCAGTTTTTTTCGTTGACTAGAGTTAGGTAAGCCTTCCTTTGTAGGTCAAAACATACCAATAATGTGCCCAATCATTGATTAAATATAAGATGTGAATTTTGAAGTTGTCGTTTGATTGACTTTCACGGACACTAAAATATGCCAATTAGGTATTACTCTCAAACAAAATCAAACCGATGTAGCAAGTACATCAACAAGATTTCGCGTATTTGATCCGTTGTACAATTGTCGAGGATCCATTTTTTGCAGTTCTAAAGGTAATTTTTCTTCAATATAATAAAAAAAGACAGGGACTTTTTATTAATGAAAACTTACCACCACAACGTCCTTTGATGCCCGTCCATATAATTCTTCCATCATGTGTGCGAGTGGAGATACGTCCAAATGAACGGACTAAAATCAATTAAATTTTAAAAACTGAATAAAATAATATACAACCTGAAGTAATCTTGCTATTTTGCAGTTCTCGGCTTCAAGCATCGCTTGCAATAGCTGGGCCTAAATTATAACCGTATTTTTGTCCTTTACAACCAACAAGCTGGGCCTAGATTATAACCGTTGGAATCGAAAACCTCTTTAATCAATGGAATCGAATCTCTTTGCCCACTCAAATTCGCCTCACTTTGTTGAATGGCTGCTTTACATTGTTGAATCTAAACTAGTGAATAAGTACAAATACCTATGTAACCCCTACCTTATGTATTACAATTTGAGGGTCAAATTGATTCAGTGCATTGTTTGAAAAGGGCACTTCTGAGTGGTGTCGCGGCGGCAAACCTCTAACTAAAAACACATCTTAATTAGAACTGCTCTGTAGCATGTTTACCAAATTAAAAACCTACTAAAAGCCACTTCCATATCAACGCGGTATCTGTAGTAGGAGTTGTATAGATCGCCCTCAAACAAAAATGAAAATTGCTCGTTTCCAGCCTAAAATGAAAAGATATACCTCAATAAAAATTATCAACCAAAACTAACATAAGAAAAGTAATATTTTAATTACATGCCTGTTTTTGGCGAGTCGTTTCCTCGACACTCGGTCCACTTCGGGCCACAAATGAAGCCATTTTGTCGATTCGATCTCGCAGATGTGAATCTAAAAAGAACCAGATTTTAGAAAAAATAAGAACAATAACCTTGAGGCGGATGTGGTGGCTGTGGAGGATGCATTCCATACGACATCGTAATCGATGCGCTGAAAAAAGCGCTGATAATTGCGGTATAAGAAAGTGTGTTCAAAAGTCAAAATCATGAGCTCAACTTCAACTAATTAAATACCACCTTTTTATTTTTTAATTTGCATATTACAGGGCGTCCCAAAAAAAAGTCACTTCGGGTCGAATTTTAAAAATATTTCTGGTGGCTCAAGGTAGTAGGTATGATGCGAAAAAGGGTACTTGTGGAGTATCCGGGGGGGTAAAATTTTAAGATCTGGTGGGGTAAAATTTTAAGATCCGGGATAAACTTTCAAAAACCAATCAAATGCCCAAAAATGAATATCGCATTCTGAAAAAAAAACTTTTGATAGTATCCTAGTTGGGGGACCACTTTTTTCTTCAAAACCACATGTGGGTTGGGCATCTGCCGGACCCACATCAACACATAAAACTATCTCAAAAAATGGTTTTGAAGAAAAAAATGACCCGCCAACTAGGATATTATCAACATTTCTAACAATGACATAAAAAAATTTTGTAGAAGTTACGTTTTTGATCGAGTATCACCTCGAATCACGTAATCACCTCAATAAATTGAATATCTTTACATTTGAAGGGAATTTGCCACCAAACCACTTAAGCGGCTGAATATCTTTAAAAGGGGTCGTGTATAACGTATATAAAATTTTACCCCCCCGAAAGACCCCGGATACTCCACAAGTACCCGAAAAAGTTTTTTTGGGGTCGGGAAATTTTGATGTTTTTTCATGATTAGCACATACCCTCTATGCAAGAAATCTCTGAGCCACCATGGTTGTCACCACCATGAGACTTTTGCCATAAAATTAAAACTTTGTACTGGCATGGTGGCTCAGAGATTTCTTGTATAGAGGGTATGATATGGTAAAAATCATGAAAAAGCATCAAAATTTCCCGACCCCAAAAAATCATTTTCGCACCATACCTACTACCTTGAGCTACCAGAAATATTTTTAAAACCAGCAGTTTTCAGCTGCTAACAAAAAAAAACTGCATCTCGAAATTCGAGCTGCGCGTCGAGAAAAGTGCCTGTGACAGACAGACGTCTCTTCTGCTTTATATATAGTAGATTGGACCCCAAGTGACTTTTTTGGGGTAGGCTAATTTCCGCCATTTTATTTGCGCAACAGGGTCATTTGCGCAACTGGGTCTTTTGCACAACTCGCCAGAAGTTATATTGACTGTTCTTTTTAAACGTTTTCCCTGTTCTTTACTAATAGGCTCAGTTTCTATGGGTTCATTGCAAAATTTCCTGTTTTAGGGATGGCGGAAAGTGAGACAACACCCTCTTCAATTACAGCCTAGTTTTTGGGACACCCTGTATGTCTCAAGACTGAATATCTTGAGATTTGTGAGGAGGTTCCTATAAATCTTGATATTCAATATCAAAAAGTTGCGCAAATAGCCGGTTACACAAGAAAACATTTAAAATGCAATTTTTTAAATTGAGTACTGGGGCTGGGTACTGCTTTTCGAAAAGATAGATCTATTTTTGTGGATAACTTAACTCTAACGCTCGTGTACCCTTTACGCTATTTTTATATCTGAAATGGCCACAGTCAACTTCGTACTACAATCTGTATTGGAACACACAGTTATATTGACTGTTCTTTTTAGACGTTTTCCCTGTTCTTTACTAATAGACTCAGTTTCTATGGTTTCATTGCAAAATTTCCTGTTTTAGGGATGGCGGAAAGTGAGACAACACCTTCTTCAATTACCGCCTCGTTACCCTCGAACGATGGGCCCAAGTTTATCGATCCCATCGACAAATATTCGGCACTCATTGTCAGGGTGAGTCATTTTAAATGGCTAATAAGAAGATCCATAGAGTGGTTTAGTTACGACAAGAAGACTTAAAACTGGGCCTCGTTTTGTGATTGGTTTACCTTATTATAGAAACATTATTAGCTTTAAGATTAGATATGCATCGTTAAATTAGCTTCTTTTGAATCTTGATGTTACATTTTAGGGAACGATAGTTGGCGCTGGGATGATAGGAATTGGACTTTTCCTGAAGAACTCACGTTTGGTTAGTTGATATACATTTGCGTCAGTTATTTTTGTTGTCTAGTTTGCTCGCTTTGAAACTGTGAGCCAAATTCCGAAGGACATAATTCGGAAAGAACTCGAGCTGAAAGGACGAGTACGCGAAATTCTTCCGAGCGGGGAGCTACGGATTGAACACGAGCCTATAATCAAACTTCCTACCATCTTCCGGCAAAAATCGATTAATCAGGTAAGCATGCTAAGTTTACTTTTGTCAAGTTGCACATTTACGCAATCTTAACCGCTTTTGGTTTCAGAAAGGTCTCCTCAATGTTCGATTGGCTGGATTGGATATCTCAAAAGCCGGACAGCAGTACATCTCCAAAGATTTACGACTGACAAATAAACCAGTGACGTTCACGGTGATTAAGCCTGCTGAAGACTTACCAAACACAATTGATGCCGATGTCACTGTCAAAAAAGTTTTTATTCATTAATTTTTTTAATTAATTTTGTTTTAGAACTTTGTTACAAGAACAAATTTGAATGTGGACCTGGTTAGACGCGGTTACGCTCGTGTTCCTGCACCGGATCACATTAAACATTTAAAGGTTTGATTTCAAGAAAATATTTTTGTAATTTTGTTTATTAATTCAAAAGTATTTAGGCATTGCAATCAGTACCCGCTTATTCTCGTCTGGTATCAAAATTGTTGATGAGTGAAAAGGTTAGGGGGTTTTCTGTTCTAAAAAATGTACAATGTATCAAGCTTTTTAGGTTGCTGACCGAAGAGGTGTAGGTGTTTGGGAAAGAGACACATGGGTCGAATCAGTTCAATCGGCTCCGTCACAATTTGTCGGTTACGTGCGGGCAGCAGCGATAACAAAATTTGCGGTATGTGTTTTTAGGATTATCCATTAAATGTACCATAGTTTTTACTAGCATCCACTTCTAAAATTTAGTTTCTGATGTACAATGTTACAAAAGATGTAGTGCTTTATGGTGTTAAAGTTGCTCAAGGAACATGGTATATGTTCCTCACCATTTGTTCTTATTTGGCACTTGGATATCGAAAATTTGGACAAGGTGAGTTATTTTTAATTACTATTATTGTTTAGTAATGCCATTTTAGGCGTTGATCGGGCGACTTCCACCTATAATCGCATAAAAAATAAAGCAACAGAAAAATAAAGTCTTCATCGTCGCGAAATTAACGACCCGGGTTTTGAACTTACCTTTTTGTGTGTTTAATATGTTTTTTGCTATTGTTGTCTAGCCAAGTGTTTGATAGGATTGAAAATAGATGATTGAGAGATGCTGAAATTTTAATACGACTTCTAATCTATGAAATCATGTAATTGTTTTTAGGATAATCGTTCAATTAGCCATTTTTATGTTCCGGATAGGATTCAGCTTTGCACGTTAAACCGGTTCGATAAATATTTCTTATTATTTTGTTTGTTGATCGATGAATGCTTTAGTGCATTATTTAATATTTCTATATTACGGTTTTTTTAGAAAATCCCAGCCTGCCAGCTTTTTTTAGTATGCTAGTAGACCAAATTCATATTTGCCTTAAAAGAGGTCAGTAATTTTCTTGTTTCAGGATGTCAAAAGCTTTGGAGAGCACGCTGACTGAGGAACAACGAGAAAATTGTCGAAGGAATCGGGAGAATGCCTTGAGGATTCGAGCTGAAAAAGAAATGGAGAAGCAACTCACAGATGAACAAAAACAACGTGTCCAGGCAAATAGGGAACGAGCATTGCGTTTGAGAGAGGAGCGATTGAAAGAATTTAGTCAACAACCTACGACGAGTACTCACAATGATCAATCAATCAAGGAATCGGGCAAACCGCCAATTCAAACTGTCGTCGTCCGTCCTCCTGTGCGAAACGCTCTTGATCAAGCAGCCGTTTTGCGCCCACTTCAGCTACAAAGTCCAAAACCTGCGGGAATTCCGGCAACAAATCTCCCAAAGCCAAAGTCTATCGTGACGATGAAAATTCTTGATGAAAACACGATTGTTATCAATCTCAACCCATACCATGAACTCATCAACGATGCACTGCGGAAAGTGCCTTCTCGACGTTATGATGGAAAGATACGAAAAAACGTCATTCATATCAAAGACTTGCGAATGTGCGAGAATTTGTTGCAAAAGCTGACACAAATTGACATTGTACTTGAGTCTATTCCGGACGATGCGTTCAGAGTTTTGACAAGGACTTCCACTCTTCAACCGGTTCCTGATGATCTCAAGCAAGCAGTTGATCCGGATCTCATCAAGTTTGCTTACGATTATCAGATCGAAGGAATAAAATTTGGAATTGCAAGGAATGGCAAGGTGTTGATTGCTGATGAAATGGGACTCGGGAAATCGATTCAAGCTCTTGGAATCGCACGGTTTTTCAAAACGGAATGGCCTCTGGTGATCGTGTGTCCAGCTGCTGTGACAACCACATGGAGAGACGCAATTCTACGATTTCTGCCTCATACCATCAAAATAGAGAGGATCCATTTGTTGCTTAGTAAGTCTGTTCCAATGCCAATAGATCGACGTTCCTCCACAATTGTGATTATGAGCTACGATCAGATGAAGTTGCGGGAGGAAGAATTGCTCAAGCAACGTTTCCAGGTGTACATTTTCGATGAGAGTCATCAACTCAAAGAGATAAAAGCGAAGAAAACATCGACAGCACAAAAATTGTGCAAATTCGCCAATCATGTGATTTTGCTTTCGGGAACACCAGCTCTTTCAAAACCAGCAGAATTGTACAGTCAAGTTCGGTTGATTGATCCAACCTTGTTTCCCAAATTTGAAACTTTTGCGACTCGGTATTGTGATGGACGCCCCGGAAACTATGGTTTTGAAGCAAAGGGTTGCACGAATAATGAGGAACTTTCGGCCATTCTCTCCAAATGTGTGATGATTCGTCGGATGAAAAATGATGTTTCAGAAAAGTTGCCTCTGAAAAAGCGAGAACTCATTTTCATCGAAGACAACAAAATCAATTTGAAATTGGAAAGCCTTCAAATGGCTAAACGACTTTTTGAGAGAAACAAATCGTCTGGCGGTGACATTTTTGTCAAGAATGGCTCCGGTGAAGGTACTATCGTCGATTATTATCGAGAGACTGGAATGGCAAAGGCAACTGCTGTCACAGAGCATGTTATCCGAAATTATTTTGCAAATTTTGAAGCTGGTGTTAGGCCAGAAAGAAAAGTTCTAATCTTTGCTCATCATCAGATTGTCTTGGATACATTTGAATACGAGATGACTCGGCGCGGAGTGGGATTTGTCCGAATTGATGGAACTACGTCTCAGGCCACTCGTGGTCTTCACTGTGATCGTTTTCAAATTGATGACAATTGCTTTGTAGCGCTTTTGTCTATCACAGCGGCTGGTGTTGGAATTAATTTGACTGCGGGATCAATTGTGATTTTTGCGGAGTTAACTTGGACTCCCGGTCTTCTACAACAAGCTGAAGATCGAGCACACCGAGTGGGGCAAAAAGAAGAGGTACTTGTTCAATATATGGTGGCTAAGAATACGGCAGATGATCATATATTGCCATTGATCGAACGAAAGATGCACCTTCTCAACCTTGTCAGCTTGAATTCCGAGTCATTTGCCAATGCGACTCGAAGACACGAAACGATCAATGCCGCAAATAAACGACCCTTAACTAATTGGCTTCAAAAAGATGCACAATTGCAACCGAAAGATAAACGGGGAAAAAGACAACTGATTTTTATGTTATTTACTAGATGTAATTTTCTGTTTGCGCACTGTTATTTTTGTTATTGATTTGGATTTTAATACAAACTTATTCAGGATGTTTTCCCTGTGATTGTGGAACGACAATTTAGCGAAACTTGCTTTGTAAGGTAATTAGTTTATTCAGTGACTAGTAATGAGTCTTCTAGATGCAAGGGACCACCGAAGAAGAGAAAGAGCAAAAGGTGGAAGAAAAATCAAACCTGCCTCTTCATTCTTCAAAGCCTCCGTTGAAACGACAACAAATTTTGGTTAGTCATCTATCAAAAAATTTGATTTGTAGCAGTAAACTTTCTAGAGTTTTTTGTAATGGTGATCTCACTTATTTAAAGAATGATCTTCTTTTTGTATTTAGGTAGAACGTCCTTTCACCCTGGAGTCTTCAAGCTTGTGTAACCTTGAATCTACTTCCTCACATCAGAGTAATTCGCCCACTTCATCAAGGTTGATTTTCATGATTTTATTTTTCAAAAAACAATATAAACGCTTAACTTTTTCTTTGTAGAGCCTCTCCTCCATCTCAGCAAAATAACGTACATCTCTCGCCTACTTCATCTTTTCGACATAATCGGCCGTCAAACATCATTATAAAGGATCCAATTGCAAATCGTTTAGTAAGTGAAAAACTATTCTCAAAAATACAACTAAAAATATCTTGGCTAAAAGCATTCGATAGGCGAAAATGTTACGTTTTCTGCTTTATTGCTGCGCTAATATCGTCAAAGAGGCGGGGTCAAATGAGTATTGATGCCGGGAAAATAAAATTAGCGTGTATGGATTGAAGTTTACGAAACGAAGGCAATCTCTCACTCTTTTTGGTGCCTTTTCTATATCTTTGCATCTAGTTGGGTCTTTCTAGTTACTACTCTAGTCAATTCGTCGTTTTTCGCCCCCATCCTCTTCTCGTTTTCAATTGGTTGTTTCACGAACGAGCACCCCGCGAGGAGTGGGGTTTCCATTTTCCAAAAACAAATCCTATGTATGTGCCGCCTATTTCGCCTATTTTCTAATCCCTCTATCCCCGGGGCCCGACACGTCAAGTGGCTAATCTGGTGTCCTGCGGCTCACACTTTAAGTAAATTCTCTTTCTATCCCCGGATTATGTTATTTGATTTAATCATGAGTCTCCACTTCTCTTTCATGTAGTATTTTTTCTTTTTCCATCGATCCACTCCTTCCGAACATTCAAAAACCCGTAAAAGGTCGTGTGAATCCACCGAATTCGATTTATTTCTGGAACGGAAACAATATTCTTAGCAATGCCCGGAGACACTTCTGTTCCTTCAAGTGGACCTAATCGCCGTTCTCCAATAGTCGCCCCCGGGCGTATTTCCCCTCAAACTATGGGCATGTCTTATCTACGTGCAACACCTCCGAAAACAAGCCCAAGGATGAAACGTTTTGCTTCGCATTTGAGTCCAATCACTATATCTTTGGATCCCCCAAGTCCCCCATCAATATCACCTTCTCCTTCTCCAAAACCGACAAATGAATTCTCGCAAATGACGTTTCTGCAAGTGCCTGCCTGGCCTGGAAGTGACACATTGTCTTTGTCGATGTACGAGGATGGCCCTCGCTCTCCACCTCCAGATCGGCGAACTTCATTTGCATCCACCTATTCCACTGTTTCCGACGTTTCTATTCCGTTGAGCTCAAGTTATCAAAATCTTCTTTCACCTTTATGGACTTCTGTGAAATATTATTCTGATGATTGCGAGACCCCGCCGGAATATGTTACACCTCCTGTTCGGCCGCGAAGTGCCCAAGTATGGCGTTACTTAAGAAAAAGAACTTTGATTCTAAGCTAAAAATCATAATTTAAGAAACAAAAAGTATATATTCTTTACCACTTCGCAGGCCAAATTGAGGCATGTCCTTATTTACTCCCTTTACGCACGCTTGAGTGGTGAGAAGAGTAAATTACATTTGAGTCTGAAAAAGCCAGCATAGCTTCCAAAAATTAACAACTTTTTCTCCGGATTTTTGGAAAGAATCCGAAGAATTTTAGTCGAAGCTTTTTCGATTTATGTGTTTAAAGTAACGACTTTAGAGTACACCCGGTGAGAGCATCCATGTGCCGCCAGTATTGCTTTCTCCAGTCCTCTCTCGGCCAGTTCGCAGTTCTTCTGCTGCCAGCAGTCCATTGCCAATTCGATGTCATCAAGTAACTTTGTTTTATATCATAACCAAAAAGTGTTTTTAGAACTCGGATTCTGATGGAGATTTATCCCCATGGCGTGCAAGACTTTCATCAGGCGGAGTTCGTGAGCGTCCTAAATCGCGCGGAGGGACCCGCCCTGTGACTCCCGCAATTTCTCCCACGCTTATGCAAAGAAGCACAAGCGGCAGCAAACTAGCGGCTATTTATGGTAAGGATTTGATTTGTTTTGGCATTTAGTTTTAGACTTGTTTGCTGCATTTTTAAGTATTAGTATCTTGTTTTAGCCCAACATCGACACTGCTCATCGGGATCGGGAAACCTTTTGCCGACAAGAGCGCTTGTTTCAAGAACAGACTCCGATGTTGGCGCACGTCCCCAACGGAGAAGAAGCCGACGAAGACCATCGTTCAATCGTAACCACGGTATGCAAAGTGTTTCTTCAAAGTTTAAACAAAAATCGTGTTAAGCAAATCCTGAAGTGCGGGGTTCAGCCTCTGCATGCAATAGTAATTTTTAGCACAAATCTCCTATTAGTTCTACAGCTTTTTATCTCAAGTTTTCTAATTCCCTCTTGAGTGATTTGTTGAATAGGTTTTTGAATTTGCTTAAGGAACTTAAGGGAGAGTACTTCTGTGATTTGTCTGTCTTACTGTGTGCTTTTCTTTCTCTTCTCAACAAGCACATTTGTTTCACTGTGGAGGGAGTAGGGAGGTCTGGCCGGTCACTTGAGAGCTATAGCGCCGGTTTGTTGTTTGAAAGAGTGATGAGTTTTGAGAAAGCAGCAGGATGGATAGGAAAGAGAGTCTTGATGATTTGCTAACGGTGAACCCATATTGACTGAAAAGAGAAGCGCTACTCAAAGAACGTTTTTTCTCTCTTCAGAACTAATTGCGTGTTGGTGTTGGTTAGTAGGATTGGCTCATATATCTTCTTGTCTTACTTCAACTATTTAACTCTATTTTGACTTCTGTAACAAGCAATGCTTCTTTTTGCTTCTCATCGCCTTTATTTAGTTGATTTTAATTTCTAAAATAGAAGGGGGTGTCGCAATTTCAAGGTTTTTGTTTTGAATTCCTAAAAATGTTCTTTCCCAAAAACGTATGATTTTTTAAAATTCCAAGTTTGATGACGAATTTTTCGTGTCTTATGTCATTTTATTTTTTAGAAGGAATCAATGCAATCTAAGCCTGCATAATATTCATGAATGGAGCAGCCTGAAATTTGTAACGTATCATCAATATCAAGGCCACGAGGCCTTGGTTCGATTACTATAAATATTCTACCAACAACTTCTCGAATGTTTTCGACTAGGGCATCTTCGAGAAAATATGGAACTCGATCAAGGCCGCCATCTCGTGCTTTGACCGAAAGTTTTGATGTAATAAATTGGGGTCAACGATCTCTATCTTCTCGTGGAACATATTTTGGCAAAAAAAGTGAGAGCATCGTTCGAAAATAGAACTAGTTTAACTAGGAGAGTTGAATTTTAAATGACACAGTAATTAAAAAAGCAATTTATAATACATTTTTTTATTGTTGAACATGAACAGGACAAAATTTTAACAAAGACTTTTTATAGCTTTATTTTTTCGATCAATTCTTGCTGGCACCGATAAAGGCTACTAATTTTGAGAAGTCCAAATTGGCCTTATTCTTTTTCCCATCGTGGAGAGCGGCTGGGCCCTGGACAAATCGGGGATAGCCACCACTTATTTCTGTCTTTCCCTCCTCTCACATTTCTATTGAATTTTCACCCTTTTCCTCTATGCATATCTCTTTTTGCCTCATATCGAATTCTTTGACGAATTCTTTTTTCTTCTCTTCTGCTAGGATAAATTTTTTGCTCCAGGCGCTAAGCTTTTATTTGATTTCGAGAAATGAATTTACTAACTTTCGCTCAATGCGATGCTTAATTTGGATAGGTTTGTCATTAAAAAAGAAAAAAAACAACTGATTGGGGATCGATTGTCATTGTTTGGTATGAAATTTTGGGATATCTTTCAAACGAATTAATATTTTTAGATGATTCAACTAATTTCTGCATTAACAATTGAAGGAAGTTTTCTTCCATGGAGTGCTATAGGTTATAGAAATTATCTTTTATAAAGAAGATTAAGTAAGACAATACAACGCGAGGCTGCTATTCTATAAAAGAGATATTTGGGGCATTTTATTATCATTCATTGTATAAAACAGTAAAAAAATAGAAATCCATGTTTGAAATACCTATTTCATTTTATTATTCAGGTGTGTGCTCCGAAACTTCAGTCGACTCTTGCTCTTCATCATCATCGAACCTTTTGAGAATGAAGTGAGTCAATGGTTTCTTTCGTGCTTGAAAACTTAGTGAATCATTTGTTCCTATTTACTTCAACTCTTTTAGATCTTCATTGGGCCACTCTGATCCACAACTTAGCCACAATGCATCACCATCAAGCACTCAAGGGCTTTCGAGTAACTTACCTCAAGTCCGATTGCGGGTGAGTTTAAATTTCAAAAATTTACGGAAAAAAAAATAAAACAACTAGAATAATTTTATAATAATCATTTTGCCAGCAATTGCTTTGAATATTCATCTGGTTTATAACACTTTTTTGAGATTGAAATTAAAAACCGATTTGACGATACAATTAAACGAAAATGAGATGGATTTCTAGAATTGGAAATATTTTGTCCTAATTGGAGCGCGTGTGTGTGCGTGTGTAAATATGCGAGCTATTCTCTTCTTTTTGGGGCGTGGCTTGGTGCAGTGCCCGAGGAGCTCATAGTAGCCTTTCATTAGTGGGAAAAGAAGGCCGGAGTCGAATTCCATTCAAAAACTCGGAGGGTTAGTCTATCCATACGGAAATACGCAGAGCCGGCGATCATTTTTCTTTGCTTCTAATTCAATAACTCCTTCTCAATATATTTTTTTTCTTTTCGGAGAAAATCTCATGGTTTCACTAATCCCTACCACGATTTGATTTGCCCATATCTGAGATCTTGAGAATAGCTCGGTTTAAAACAAACCTATTTTTATTCTCGACTTTTGGATGCCATTCAGCGCTTCGTAACAACTACCAAGCTTTCTAATTTGGTCGATCTCATTTGGCGACAAAATTGAGTTTCCATTTGACGTTGAATTCTCTTTCTACGCTAACCACCCATATTTTTTTCCCGTCGCGAGTCAACCCTTAATTAAAAGGCCATCAGCTAAAGGATTTGCTCTTTCTAACCACTAAACGCAGAAGACACGACTCGTCATGGATCTATTGCAGCAGAGACGGCGTTCTCGGCGATGTTCACTTCCAGTTTTACCTCAAATTGCTTCACAAAGTCCGCAATTACTTCTAGCTCGGCCATGTCAAGTGGCTTGGAGAAATTCGTCTTCGCAAATTGACATTCCTATAACATATTCACCCTCTTTATCTCCGGGAGCTTATTCAACTTTATCGATCTCAACTCGGAGACGATCTCCATCCCGATCATCTAGTCGGCGTGTCGGCTGTAATTTTGGTCATATTTCCCCACCACCAACATCCCCTTCGCCCACATTTTTATCAGTTGGAGATATGCAACCGATTAGACCGAGGAGCATGACCGGTATATATTCGGTATGTTTGCTTATCATCTTTCCTTTTTGGAGAACTAGCTATTTTTTTGGTATCTAATTTTTATCCATTTTTTTTATTTTCACTCTTCTCGAAAATTTTGATGTAACGATCTCGTTAAAGGAAATAAGTCCCCACCTTTGTATCGAAATTGAAAGACATTCTGGGGATATGTTGCCTAGTAACCCAATTATTTCTTTCCAACATATTTCCAAAAAAACGTTTGAAGAACTTTCCAATTTTTCATAAGCAAGTGATAAAAGGCAAAGGGCAAGAAGGCAAGAGATAAAATGTGTATCGGCGACGCCTTAAATCGATGGATAATGACGTTCGCAAACATTTCTTTTCTCTTTTTGAAAAGAGGTTGCCTTTTTCAAAGGTTCCTAATGGACCGCGTCTCTTTTGGTTTGCCTATTTCTTTTTGGCGGAATCTATGCGAGCAGGGCTGAAAGCTATTTGGAGACGCTATGTATAGAAAACATAAGACAACTTGCAGATTTTTGATTCTATCATAATCGACTATGATTTGGGCAATTCATTCAAGTTTACTAAAGTTAATCCAATGACCAAATCAAAGGTTAAATACTGAGTATCCAGATAAAAACAATTACTGCAATTACTGCGAAAATGAAAACAAACATAATAAACAATATTGTGTTTATAGCCTGCAGAGACTAATTATCTATTATGCGTGCTTGGATTATTAGTAGAAGGTTTTTTTAAATGACTAGAAAATTTTTTTAATTTTTTATTACTTTTCTAGATCCTTCCATTGTTATCTCTTCCCTTTGCGAGCTTGGATCGATTTAGGAAGGAGAAAAGTTAATTAGGTTATGGGAATGTTTTTCTCTATTCGTTAGAATTGTTGAGGCATAAAAAGAGAAATTGCAAAAGAAATGAAGTCTAAACGATTTTTAGACTTCATCATTGGCGTTTTCGTAAATTCTGCTACGAAAATGAAGTATCCCGAAGAGGAAAAACACAACTAAAAGCAGAGGTTTTGGTCCCCGATTCCCAAGGGAATTTCTGACATCATTCAATCACTTCACGCCGCTCGTAGCTAAAAGAAACACAAAAGAAAGCTGCTTTTAGTGTCTTTAGTGCGATCCATAGCGTTAGAGTTAGCATCACATGTTACTTACTGAATCTTTTCCAACTGCAACTTACTCGCCAAAGTTTTGCTATTAATAATGGGTTCTTGTTCGCCTTCATTTGATTCTTCAACTTCCCATTCTTCCACCGATACTCCTTGGCATAGATTCCCTGCAATGCTTTCCCGGTTCAAAAGACTTTCAAAGAAATCAAAAATCTCGCTAATTTCCAACCAACTGACTCATTCTTCTGTTCATTCAAAAAACGCGATTACGCGATCGATTTCCTGTTTTACTGTTGGCTTCAATAATTCAACGAACATTTGCCTTTCACCTGTAGCGAGACTCAAGGTGAATTTCTAACGGGCAAAGTTAGAACTTGAAAGCGTATCAATATTAAAAATGTAAAAATAAAGTGGTTAAGAGCAAAAAGTTAAAATCTATTTTCTTGTAATTTAGAAAGATCTCGTCTCGCAATCAAATCGTGGATCTGTGGTTCGTCGATCGTTCAATGCGTCAACGTCACCTGTTGTGCCTCCAAGGTGCCGATCTCCTGCTGGGCGTGGACTTCTTTCAAATGCTCAACAACCGTCCACATCTTCCGGGGTTCATCATATACGGACGACTGCGCCAGCCGCCGTTTCACTTCGGTATGTTCTTTTTACTTTAGTTTACATCTGTGACTTTAGTTCCTACTCTCAAAGAAGCGGTAGTGCATTGATGGCTCCACATCCAGATCATCGTCGATGGTCGTTAGCGAGTCTTCCGTCAACCAGTGGATATGGAACACCTGGCAGCAATTCGGCTTTCTCTGTTGGAACTTCAGTAAACACTCATGTTCATGACCAATAATTAAAAATTCTTTAGAGCCAATATTCTTCTTCCGAGCAGCTATGTGATATGGTAGAAGGTCTGAGAGTTGGCGGAGTGCGATTCGACTCTGGTGAAAATGCTCCAGGTCATGATGACAACTTCTTGGGATTTCGACCTCGCAGCCGGAGTTTAACGTGAGCGAATTATATCTTTTCAAGTGTACGATCGTTTAGGAGTCCCGTGAAATTCGGCGCAGAATACAATCCTGATGTGCTTAACAGAACGTGTGTCTACAAAGAAAGATTTCCAAAAGCCAAACAGCAAATGGAGGAAAAATTGAATGCATTTGTATTGGAAAATGCGCCACTTTCAGGCGGAGCAAATTTGGGTAAGGTTTTTAGTAAAACATGCTTTATAAATTGCAATATTGTATTTGAAAAAACATATTTTTCAGGTGAATCCGAAAAGTTGAGCGACAACAAACACCATCGAAAGAGTATGGTAATGACAGCGGAAATGAGTGCCGATCCAAAATTGCTGAGACTCATTGCTGATGGAGCCACCCGTTTTCTGCATCACCAGGTGAGTCATTCAACAAAATGTTATGGGATAAATGAAAAAAAAATAATGTATAAATTTAGATTGTTGAAATAGCGTCTGATTGCTTGGCCCGATCCCGAGATGATACAATAACTTGCGGTTATTTCTGCGAAATGAGCCAAAGATTGGATGAAACATTGACGGAGGCAGCTCTGAAGACGAGTACCGATTCACAAGTAAGAAAGTTAATTTTATGACCTATTCAGAATTTTTTTCAGGCTTATCTCGGAAAACTTGTCAAGCAATTGTTGATGATAGTGTCTCGCCCCGCCCGCTTGCTTGAATGCTTGGAATTTGATCCGGATGAATTTTATCAATTGTTAGAAGAAGCGGAAGGCGTTGTGCGGGAACAACTTGGATCTGGATCTGCGAGAGTTCCTGATCTTCCACAATATATTATTGGAAAGCTTGGTTTGGATAGGTTTGTAAATAATTTTAGCAGTTAATTTTCAAATGGATTGATTTAGAGATCCGTTAATGGATGAAGAACGAACGGGTAATTCTCCACCTCTATCTGCGAATCAGGGTGAATCTGGTCCTTCGATGAGTCACGAAATTGAAAAATCTCAAGTTGTTTGGCCTCCCCCTGAAAACAAGGTTATCACGGTGATAGTAAAGTGCTTTTTAATGTTCATTTTTAGGCACCAACCGAAGATGATTATGAAACAATTCGTCTTGTGTCAAATGGAGCCTATGGAGCAGTTTATCTAGTACGTCATCGAGAAACAAGACAACGTTTCGCTTTGAAGAAAATGAATAAACAGACTCTCATTCTTCGCAATCAAGTCGATCAAGTAAGCATTTCATTTATTCAGTGTATTCTAAATTCAAATTAAGGTATTTGCTGAGAGAGATATTCTTACGATGGCCGATAATCCATTTGTTGTCTCCTTTTATGGTTCTTTTGAAACGCGACATCATTTGTGTATGCTGATGGAATATGTTGAGGGTGGAGATTGCGCCGCTCTTCTCAAAAATGCTGGCACTCTTCCGTTAGATTTAACAAGGTTGTCGGATTGTTGAAAATTGACTTAATACAAGTTATGCTGAAAAAAATAAATCCTGGTGGCAAAGCATATAACATAACAATAACATATGTAATTATTCTAGATTGTATGTAGCCGAGACGATTTTGGCCATCGAATATTTACATTCATATGGCATTGTGCATCGTGATTTGAAGCCTGATAAGTAAGTTGCTTAAGTTTTGAGCAACTGAAGGTTTATTTTTAGCTTACTTATTACTGCAATGGGCCACATCAAACTGACCGACTTCGGATTGTCAAAAATCGGCTTGATGAATCGAACAACGCTTGTCGTAGAAACGGAAACAGAGACTCAACAATTCAAAGATAAACAACTTTGTGGAACACCTGAGTAAAACAAATCAATCTAACGGGAAATAATACCTTCGTTTTAGATATATTGCCCCGGAAGTGATTATTCGTCAGGGGTACGGCAAACCCGTCGATTGGTGGGCACTGGGAGTGATCTTGTACGAGTTTCTTGTTGGGATTGTCCCATTCATTGGAGATAGTCCTGAAGATCTCTTTAGCAAAATCATTTCAGGTTCGTGTGTTGTGCATTCTAACTAATATATTTCGTTTTTTTTATAGAAGATGTTGAATATCCAGAAGGTGAAGAGGCGTTGATTCCAGAAGCTGAAGATCTCATAAAACATTTACTCGAGAAAAATCCAGTTTATCGACTTGGAACACAAGCTGGAGCCCCGGAAATCACCATTCACCCATTCTTCCTTGTAAGTTTTCTACAAAAATCAAAAAGTTCCACTTGGTGTTTTTATAAGATTGATTTTAGGGACTGGATTTTCATTCACTTTTGCGACAAAAGGCTGAGTTTGTACCTCAATTGGAGAATGAAGAAGATACCTCGTACTTTGACACGCGTGCTGATCGATACAACCATGACGCGGAAAGTGGGGGTGAAGAGGATCCAAATGGAATTGCTGCTTCTGGAGCGCACATGTTTCAATCATTTAGGTTTGGATCTTGCAAGAAGTTGTAATAGTTTTATTTTTAGCACGGCATCACCTCGTCATTCAATTTGTGGAATTGATCCAGCTTTCTTGCCGCATCAAGCATCAAAAGATGGATCAACTTCTCCCTTACCAACTCGGGCTCATGATCGGTGAATCTAATCAAACTTTAATGACTCTTATTCTTTATAGATTCCGTAAATCTTCTCAGCAAAGCAGCGAAGATCAATCAACTTGTGATAGCTTCGATTTTCAAGACAAATATGCTGAGGCTCCGCCAATTCCGACGGTATGTTTACTTGGAGCTAAAAATTTTTTTTTTGTTAGGCTGTTCTTTTACGGCGAAGATTTTCATCACAGCGACAAACGAACTTATCGTCTGGAACCTCATCATCTGGTACAACAGGTGCAGAGCGTGGATCGGGGACAGCCTGCAGCAGTACTGACAGCAGTATGGATGCTACCTTTATGCATACACATAGTAAGTTTTTTTAATTTGAAAAATTTAATTTCAAATTTCTTTTTTTCATTTTTTAAAAACATTTCAGATTCTGGTCATTATGCTCATCATCCACTTGCTGAACAACGACGGTCTCCATTGCCTCGCTTTGCTATCAGCTGTGATCCAGACGATGAGAATGTTTCTTCGCATCCAAATCAACGCCCAAAAGAGCTCAGTCCCGTTGAAGAAGCAACGAGAAAAACCGTAAAAAAAAGTTTTTATAATTTAAATAGCTTGTTTTAGTCAGAATCAAGCGTACCACTTCAACTTGTGATTCCATCGGCTTCTGGAGTCGCGTCTACCTCACATTCTCCGGCTCATTCTGTTTCATCGACCTCATCTGTTGATGGTTCGCCTGCCAGTATTGTTCACGGACACCAGATAGATCCGACGGCACATAAAACGATAGTTATTCGGTAGATTTTCAAATGATGGTTATTCAGTCGTTTTCTTTAGGAAAGGCCCACTTGGATTTGGTTTTACAATTCGTTCCGTGCGTGTTTATCTGGGAGAACACTCTGAATATTACACAATCGAACATATGGTTGGTTTAACGTTTTTGTTGGATTGTTTTATTTTAATGATTTAGGTGACAGCGGTGGACGAAGGAAGTCCAGCATACGTGGCGGGATTGCGATCTGATGATTTGATCACTCATGCGAATGGGCAAGAAGTTCACAATCTACCTCATCCCGAATTAATGAGGAGATTGCTTGGTTGTGGAAACGAATTAACGCTAAGCGTAAGAATTTATATGCTTTTAGAATTTTGGTTTTCAAATTTTATGCAAATATACGAAGTTATTGATTTTAGGTTACCCCGTTGTCTGCAACTTCAATTCGAGAGGGAGCAGCACGAAAGTCAGTTGGCAAGCTCGCACGAAAGAAACCGAAACGACCACAACAACGCCGTGGACCGATGGAGAAGAAATCAAGAAAGCCAAGCAGTCTTTTGAGAAGATTGAGTGGGAAACGACCAACAGAAGTTTTGCCCGGGACAAGCACTCAAAAGCAGACATTCATGCCTAGGTATTCTGCTGACTCGTTAGAGATGTTATAATTTATGCAACGGTCACTTAATTTAATTTTTAGATCGGTTTCATCACAAGATGGTTCGATTCTCTCCCCTTTCTCAACTTCGGCTTCAGCTCTTCCATCAGGTCCTAACACAGCCGGAGGAACACAAATGACGGTACCAATGGCATTTCACAAACGATTGTCGGATGTGGGAATTCGAGAAGAACCTCGATCTTCTCCACTTGCCAATTCGACTCGTCCTAACTCATTGCATGGATTAAAGGTTGTGATAATATCCGTTTAATACTTAACGTAACTCTTTTAGGGAAGCAAGCATCCGAGCATTCCAGTTTCAACAACGAAGAATGCATCCTCTCCAATTCCAGTTTCACCTTTGGCTCGCACCCATCCAGAACAGCCGCCATCGCCTACACGGTATTTTTGTAGTATTTTGAAATAACAACCATCTTGCGTTTAGATCTCCAAGCCCATCTGGCTCAAAATTCCCTGGGCGCAATCTCGTGAGCAAACTTCTTCATGGAAGCAAAAATTAATATCCCGACCAAATGTTTGTGTTTTTTCTTGTGTGATCTTGTTCTACTTAAGTTTGTATTTCGCAATATCTCTAGTCTCTCATATTTAAGGGCGTTCCCAAACATGTGTACTCATGAGTCTAAAATATTTATTGCTTAATTTACAAGCTGTTTTTATCTTTAATTATATCTTTAACAAACTTGAACCATTGTGAGTGAACCAATGCAATTAATCTTAGCTACCTATTCCTCTCTCTTTTAGCATTAGAAAAATCTATCGGGTCTTCCATTACTTGTACTTGATTCTTAGTCCACATAGTCTTCAATGCATAATCTCATACTAATGGAAAGTATGGTTATTTTAGAAAATGACTGGTCAATTTGCTGTTGTCCAATTTTGATGAAATGAATTTCGAACGGGAACCCTTAAAGTCAATTGACCAAACCATTAATTTTTGATCTTTTGATTGCATATTCCCAATTTCTCCGATTTTTTTCTTACAGTTGGTTTCCTTCATTTTGATTCTCAATTAAATATTTCTTGGCGGTGATTGTAGTTGATACGTATGGAATAAAATGGCTTTGTCCAAAGAAAAACGCACAATTAATAAATGCGCCTAAAGCTTTTAAACAAAGTTACAGAAATCCCAAAAGATAATACGGTTTACTGTAATTGAAATAGCAAGGTAATGGCTTAGCAGAAAAAAAATGCAGTCTAAAATTTCTAATTGTAGGTTAATAAGTTTACTTAATGAGTTAGTCCCCCAATAAAGTGCTTGTGCTGAGACTTTCAGACAGTTTACAGGGGGCTCTTCGCCACTTCCTCTCTATTTTCCGAATCGCTTTTTTTTCATTTGTTTTTTGATAGATAAAAGAATCTGTTTTCTTCACAAAGAATCTGTTTTCTGCTTTCATCTGCTTTGATCAAACCATCAAGTCGCCTTACCTACAGTGGAGTCGGCACAGTCGAGGGCTCGCCTCATCTCTTCTCTTCATGGTGCGATAAGCCGACTTTTTTACCCATCAGTAAAAGTGAAAAGCAAAACCGTTTTTACCAGTAAACGGGGTCGGGATTATCTGATAAAATGAGGAGAGTTCCATCGTAAAAACTCTCTCTCTCTCTTTCTCTCAGACATGCCCAATTCAGGGGTGGTCTCTGTTTCATTTTGGACAACAAAATGAGTTTTTTGGTGGTCAAGAAAACCGAATTTCAAAAGATTTACAGAGAAAATAGCCTCACTTGAGAGGAATACGGTTAACTTTAGGAACACAATTTGGCAAGTGACCAAAGAATCCCGTGCTTTTGATTGCTACTTGCGGCCATTTAGTAGCGATCGGCTGACTGGGAAATGAGAAAAAAAACGCGAAAGAGGCATCTTTGTGCCATCCTCTCCTTTTTTTCTGTCACACTTTTTTCTTTTGCTATCTTTTAGTAATCAAAAATGATAGGTCATAGTGGCATTGATCAAAAGAAAATGAAGCTGAATGTGTGGCTGAATTGGTACATATATTTGGAGATGATCATTCATTTGCTCCATACCATTGAGCTCACAGAAACATTATCTCTATTTATTCTACCGTAGTAGAGCCTTCTTCTATTACTTCTCCTTAAAAAAGGGTTTTTTTTGAAGTATTAGGTTGATGCAAAAGTCTTTTTCATTTTTTTCGTACTTCTTTTGAAAAATAACAAAGTCATCAATTAACCTATGGTTTGCTCTAAATGAAAAGTGTTTATTGTTGAATTTCCCATCTTTTTAAGTCAATTTGGGTTCACTTTCAAGCAAATTCGAGAGTGAAAACGGGTTTTTCATAAAAATCTATAAAAACCTCTATAAAGAAATTGGCTGAATCAATTTCTCTGAAAATCTGAAAAAATATCTAACTTTTTGTGCTCTATCTTTTATTTATTAACATCAAGATTGGTTTCCTTAGCTAAAGCGTCTAAAATGCATCATCGAGCCGTCGCCTTTTTTGACTACCCGACTTCAGGCTCTCAAAAAAATCTAGACATAAGACATTTTAAACTCGTTTTAATGTCATTTTGCAGAAAAATAATTGGCCTTTCGAATGCAATAAAAACCGTTGTTCAATTGGTGCATTTGTTACTTTTTAACGGAAGTACGAAAAAAATGAAAAAGACTTTTGCATCAACCTAATATAATGAAGTAGTATATGACAAATTCTAGTGTCGAAAGTTTCAGTTTCAAATGATAGAGTCGGAAGGCATTCTATTACGATAAAGCACTCTAGCAATGATAGAGCATTCTATTGCGACAACAGAGTTTTTCATTTTCGTACAATTTTTTCATTTTAGGTAGGATGGCTATATAATCAAGCAAGCATGTGATCCTAGGGTTTTTTCAGCAATTGGGGACACCTCTTTCGGCTCATCAGCGCCATTCAATGAGATTTCTTCTCCCTGTCGATCTTCGTCTTCTTCTTCTCCTTTCTCATTTCATCTTCTCACTTTTTTTTTCACCTTTCTCCTATTTTCTTCTTTCTCTCTCTGTGTGTGTGGTCTTTTTCTGTCTTCTGTGTGGTCTTCGCCCCTTGACTTTGTCGATAATTTGATTTTTTTTTAGAGAACGTCGCGACTTTAGATGGAAAACCGCATCTGCATAAGACGAAGAGAATTAGAGGAGTGCTGCATGTATTGGTTGTTCTCAATTTTTCATTGATTTTACGCGTGTGCCAAAAGATTTTGAAGTACTTTGCCGCTAGCTAACGAAAATTGACACCTCTTATAGTTGGCGTACTTCTTAGTATAGTACTACTTATAATTAGCGCAACTAGCCTCTCTATAGTAGAGTGTGTTCCTATCAGATAATGCGTTTTCTAAAGTGCACCTATTTGAGAAAGCTATCGTAGTAAAACCGTTAGTTTACATGCAATCAGTCCGATTTTGGTATCATTGATTGAGCCTTATAATTCCTCATCGAATGTTACCAAAATCGGAGTGATTGCATGTAAACTAACGGTTTGACTACGGTAGTTTTCTCAACTAGGCGCATTTTAGAAAACCCATTATCCGATAGGAACACACTCTACTCTATAGGGTCTACGTAAATATTAGGGTGGGGGTGGCTGTAAAAATTGTGATCGAGCTCATCAAAGCATTCGCAAAATGTTCGCAAAATCATGACACTCATTGTCAGATTGAAGGGCAATTCCCTCTGGAAACGATTCAACACAACATTTTCCCCATAAACAATTGAGAGTTTTTGTGTGAGATGAGTGAATCGGTTTGGGTCATTTGATACAGTTGATCACTTTTCATTTCTTCCATCACTTTTCCCCCAATCATTCCCCATTCACACTGTATATATATCACCATTTTTTTCCCTCAAAATTTCTTTTAGAAATTCCGGCAATGGAAGAGAGAAAGTTTTAATTTATAAAAATAAAAAAAAAGAATAAAAAACAGCTAGGTCTCTCTAGTATTTTATTGAGCTTTTATAAGCTACAGCTACAGCTACAGCTACAGCTACAGCTACAGCTAAAGCTACAGCTAAAGCTACAGCTAAAGCTACAGCTAAAGCTACAGCTAAAGCTACAGCTAAAGCTACAGCTACAGCTACAGCTACAGCTACAGCTACAGCTACAGCTAAAGCTACAGCTAAAGCTACAGCTAAAGCTACAGCTAAAGCTACAGCTAAAGCTACAGCTAAAGCTACAGCTAAAGCTACAGCTAAAGCTACAGCTAAAGCTACAGCTAAAGCTACAGCTACAGCTACAGCTACAGCTACAGCTAAAGCTACAGCTACAGCTACAGCTAAAGCTACAGCTAAAGCTACAGCTAAAGCTAAAGCTACAGCTAAAGCTACAGCTAAAGCTACAGCTAAAGCTACAGCTAAAGCTACAGCTAAAGCTACAGCTACAGCTACAGCTACAGCTAAAGCTACAGCTACAGCTACAGCTACAGCTACAGCTACAGCTACAGCTACAGCTACAGTAATACCAGGAAAATGTCATATTCATTTTTTGGAACTTTCCAATCAATGACATGTTAAAAGCTTTTCTTTATAATTGTAGAGTGCAAATGGTTGAAATATCTCCCCTCCATGTGTTTTCCTTTTTTTTCCAAAGAAATTCATTTTTCATGATATTTTTTTTGTCAAAGCAGCCCCCTTTTGTGGCTCTTTTTACTCTCTTCCCTTTTTTTTCAAGTCTCTTTTTTCTGATTTATCTATCACCCCTTCTCTTTTTCCTCTCTTCACCCAACTTTTGACCCCCTCAAGAGAAATGGTTTTACTTTTTTTGGCAAATTTCCACAACTAATACTTTTCCTGGCCACCTGTATTGTTACCATTTTATTGCAACGATTTCCCGATTGTTTATGCAATGAGTTTTTGGTTGTAAACGAAAAACTCATTACATAAGCCAAAAACACTTGAGGTCAAAGCTTGTGTTCTGTTATTTGAGGTGTTGAGTTACAGGAGTTCTTTATCTTTTTTTTCCTTTTCAATCCTCAGAATGAGGCCTCACACGAAGAGACTGAGAAACAAGTGTTAGACGGTGATTTCGCTATGTGAAAGTGCTGCTCTTAAAAAGTTTAGTATCGAAAAAAGTGAGGAAATGAGGTTGAAGAGCACTTAGATGATTCGGAGTTCATTCGCGTTCATTTCATTTCATTCCCTTCACTTAATTTTATCCCTCTTTTTGGGATGACCTCTTTTGCAAAGGAAAATCGAGAAACGAACGAGCACTTTTTTTTCGTATGAAGAGGTTTTAACTGTTAAACTAAAAGAGTTCTGTCAAGATCGAGAAGCTCTGCCTAATTTCGACATCACACAGTTTAATCCGACATTGTAACGGTCGATCTTTTTTATATTGGGTTGGGGACTATGACTCGGCGCCAAACTTTAGGGACTTTGCCTAAAGCCTTCTTTAACATACGTTTGGTTTCCGTCCACTTTTTCTCTCAATCCTTTTGGTTCCCAGCTTTTCTTTCGTGGGTTTGGACCCCCCGCTGTGGCAAGGCCCGACCTCTTTGGTTTCTTTCCTAAACCTTCTTTGGT